TGGAGCATCCTAGGATGATATTCGCTGCATTCATCTGCGCCGCCTCGAGTCCTTTCGCTACTTGCTTATTTCCTTCCCATACTTCTCCGGCGTACTCTAGCGACTGTACGATTTCGCTCTTCAAGACCGTCGATTTGATGCGTGTATCGAGGTGCCGGTTTGCGAGTATTGGGTGCAGCTTCCCTGCTCGTGATTTGCCCTTTTCCGCTACCTGGGACATGTGTGCATTCTACGAGCAGACTTTTACGATCTCTACTCAGAGGTATGTGTACTGGTCCACTACTGCAATCTCCTCGATCCCCCACTTTCGTCTATGTTCTACTGATTCCATCTTGTTCTCGTTGCATACCATGACGGCACTCTTCTTGACTTTGGCAGACAATCTCCACTCATCAGTAAACTTCTTCGCCGCGTCTATTTGCGGTTGCAGTCCATCAGGGGTGTCCGACATTCCGACAAAATCATCCGCACACAATATTCCTGACACCGAAGGTTCTGTGTCCCCTACTTGTACTTCCTTCCGGACTGCCTCTACGACTTCCAACAGATCGTTGATGAACACCTGGAACAATGTTGGGGACAGCGTGCAACCTTGTGGGACCCCCTGCTCAATGTCGAAGAATTTTGACAGTTCTCCGTCTAGCATGACCGCGCTTTTCGTACACTCTGTCATCTTCTTCAGCACTCTCCACATTTTCCCCTTGATCCCGTATTTGGACAGTTGTTTCCACAACCCATTTCTCCACACGGTGTCGTATGCCTTTTTCACGTCCAGGAAGAAGCAGTACGTCGGCTTTCCCGCCCTCTTTCTACCTTGGATGATTCTCCCTACCGTGAATGCGTGGTCTACACACCCCCTCTTCTTTCGGAATCCTGCCTGGCCCTCACTAATGCTATGTTCCTTCTCCAATACTCCCACTATCCTATCGTTCAGCAGCTTACAGAACACTTTTCCTACTGTGTTCAACAGTGTGATCCCCCTGTAGTTTCCTGGGTCAGTCTTGTCTCCTTTCTTGAACAAGTTCACCACCACTCCTTCCCTCCACCTACTTGGCGTATACTCGATTTTCCGCACCCCATTGTACAGCAGTACCATGAGCTGGATCATCCCCTTCCCCCCAAACTTCATGAACTCGTTGACTATCCCATCCGCTCCTGCTGCTTTGTGGCACTTCAGCTTGTTCACACACGCCTCAACTCTCGTCCTCAGTGAACTCCTTTGTGAGTTCTACGTTCCCAACGCCTGCCTTCGATGTCTCTCCTTTCTGTGGGCCCATGCGTCCACCTCCTTCTCAAACACTTGGTCAAAAGCTTCATTCTCC